TCTGGGGCTATTTCTAGGAGGCCAGAAACCAAACAACAACTGCCTGGACCTGAAAGGCACACCTCGGATTTCATTTCCTCCAGCCTTGACACCCCTGTGTGCACAGTTGCCCGGTTGCTTTTCCTCTTCCCAAGGCGAGAAGCTCACACCAAACCCAGCCTGCTCAGGTCAGACTTGCCACCAGGCATCTGAACTTCTTTTGGCCTGTGCTGGATGAAATCACAGCCCATGCATTACCCTGATGCAGACGCTTGTTTGCTTTATATTTTGTGGTTGAGTATTTTATAGTTAAGGGATATCTGCTAATCCCAAAGTACAATAACAAAAATGGTATCTTTCATAAATACACGGGGTAGGGATGGGCATGCTCCAAGTGTGTGTGGAGAAATGAAAATTTCAGACATTGCTTCCCTGCGCTTGGAACCTGTCCTCAGTTAATGGAGTTAGATAGCTAGTTGGGATTTGCAGAATTATTTTATTAATATTATTCTTTTTTATTATGGGACATATTCTGCATCAGAATATGATTCTCTTTCCCTTCCAGATATAAATTATTCAACTTCCAATCCTTCTCTTGAAGATGTAGGTCTGATCAAAGGAACAAGTGAAAGAGTGAAACACTGATCAGCACCTCCTTAACGTAGCTGCTTTGCTGCCTGAGCACTGGGGTCTTGGCTAGTTAGTGACCTAAGTATCACTCTGGAATGAACTTTTTGATTTATTCTGGACTTTCCTAGCAGAGATTAACACCAATGCTTGTGTGAATGCAGCTTTCTTGGGAATAGAGGCTGGGAGCTTCCTCCAGGTGACCTGGCTGAGCTTGTATTTTATTTGGGTTATATCTGCAAGCAAAGGTTTCAAATCCCCTAATGATACTACTTGAATTTCTGGGAGAGTGCTACAGCTTCTCTGCAAAACTGGAGGGACGCTTCAGCTTTGCCCAAGCAGCCTGAGTGGGGCCAGGGCTGGGGAACCACAGGCTGCAGCAAACAGAAAGGCGTTGAGACCGTTCTGCTGCCAAAAAGCATCCCCCTGATGTGCAGCACCTTCTACAAGGTGCTGAGCACTGCTGAAAAGCAAGACCCACACACAGTAAAGGAGGGTCCCTTTTGCTACCCCTTTCATATCTGTCATGGATCTGCTCCCGTGTCCTGTTTTGCTCAGCAGATTGCAGCCAGCTCAGGCTCATCATACCTGTTTCCCAAAACGGAGCTATTCTGATTCAAGGCTCTGCAGATGACTTGTGGACGATGATCATCATCATAATCGTCATCGTCATAATCATTGTCCTCATTGTCATCATTATTATGCAGAATACCTTCCCTAATGATTGCTAGGTTAGGGACTGCCAGGCTGAGAAGGACAATAGAAGGAAACAAAGTGAAAACGGAAGGCTCAGCAGACCAGTCCATGGAGGTTTTGCCTGGGAGTGGGACTAGGACACAGGGACGTTTTTCTGCAAGACAGCACCTTTCTGATAAAACCATAGTGCCTACATGTTAACTTCTCCCTTGCTCTGCTGATGTCAAACCCTACTTTTAAAGCTCCTTTTGCACACATCATACTTTCGAGCCCATGTTTACAGGGCTATCTGGCTCAGGACAATCTTGCTTCCCCAGCCCTTGGACCAAACAGCAGAATTAACCCAAACTTACACCCTCACCTCACAAGATTTCAGGTTCAAAGCACTCAACTGACAGGTGAAATTCCCCTTACTGTTCAAACAGGTGTTAATCATGTTATCCACATGGCAATTCTCTGGGTAGTTGGAGGAGAGCAAATCTTCACCCAGTACTTCTCCCCACATCAAAGACAGCCATCTGTGCCTCTCAGCTGCCCCTCGACAGCTCAAGACAGAGATCTTGATCTAGGTATGGATTTTGTGTGGCCGCAGGCTCATGGAGGGGGCCACAATTTCTGCAGATACTTTTAACTCTGAGGACTCATTCCCACAGCATTTTTTCCCCCACCCTGGTTTACAGTGAATGTAGGGACACACAGCCTGCATGCTGTGGAGAAGTGATTCAGTGCCAGCATCCTGCCCCGTGATGTATCAGTGGCACAGGCAATCAAAGAAACCATTTCCAAGCCCTACTTCAGCATTTTTGCTTTGGAAAGTTCCTTTACTGTCATCTTTGCTGGCAAACAAAAAGCATAATGGGAGTGACAGCTTCAGGTCTGGGATGCATAATTCTCTGCCCCATCTCGGCATCACCAACTCTCAAGCGCAAAACGACCCAGCTGCAAAGACCGCAGCAATTAGGGCCACCGTTCTCAAGACTTGAGTCTTCCAGCCTCAGACATATGAATTGTGCCCTGAAGCTCTGAGCAGCGTCTGCCTCAGTCTGTGGAAATCCTCCTGACTCAAACTCACAACACAGCTTTGATTTGCTTTGCTGGGGAAGTAAATGATTGGGTACCACTTTTAGCTTAACCCAAAGCTGCCACAGAGCCTGTCTCTAAATTAAGTCCCTGCATCCCCATCGTTCTGCACATTGATTTTTGCTTGTTGCTTCTAAGAATGAGGCACTTGGTGACTTCTGTTGATAGCAGCACATAAAACACACTCAGACCTGCTAGCCAAATATCAATATATATACGACCCTTCTTACAGCGTAGCTATCAAGACATCACCTTGCTGAAATATGCAGTCAACACTATTCAGTGTTTTCAGAGTTCATTTAAAAATCAAGTTAGTTTGGAAAAGAAACAACTGCAGCAAAAATAAACAGGGCTTTAGGCACCCTGCAAGTTGTTCCTTGCCTCGCAAGTGGGTGTACAGTGGGGTGACATGGGATGAACTACTTATTCTGCTTAAGGGGATGCCAGAAGGGACTGATGCACGGATAGACTCCACAACTCGTTAAAGTTGTAAAATAGGTATGCTTTTTATTCAGCGCTGAGACGCACATTGGTCAAATCTCTGCATCAGGACACACAACATTTCAGCCCCTGAATTGTCAGGACAACTTTTCAAACCTTTTGACAAGTCTTTTAGCTGTCAGTACTGAGTTTGAAAAGCATGGGAAGTGTCTGAAACATGCACTTCAGTCTGGGCTTTATTAAACTCAATGGGGTTTCTTGCGGCAGGACCCTATGCCAGTACAGGAGGGTATCAGGATTTTGGAAATGCAAAAGAGCAAATACTCTTGTGCACTCCTTGCCTAGCCTTCCCAGTGAAGTTCCCTGCTTTCTTGTCCCTCTGTGATTCTATGATTCTATTCTAGATTTGTGCCCAGGTCCAACTCACCCTGAAGTGGTGCACTGGGCATGTTCAGCTGTGATCCAGTTGCCTACCAGTGCTGCTGAGCAAATGGCTTGTGATCTGAAAGTGTCTGTTGTGAGGGGGGTGTCAAAAATAGAATAGCCACTGGGAACGCGAGATGGATGATGCTTGGTTCGCTGTCTGTTCCTCAGCACCTTCTTGGAGGTACTGGGATGTACTGAGAGAGAGGAGTAAACCGAGAATGGGACTGGAGGCGCACTCTGAAGCCTTTCCTGTCTTTTCTGGGTCCTAAAGTTTGCTGAGCTCTAATCTGTCTGTTTCGTGAACCTGATTTTCACCATTACCAACAAAGACACCAAATCTAGCAGGAATTTTGGTGCTGACTTCAGCGGCAGCAGGGCTGTGGAGGTGGAGGTAGCAGGTGCTGCAGGACTTGCACTCTCATGATATATCCCCAAATTCAGATGTGGTCATGGAGATGTTAATCCCACCCCAGAAGAGGGGAAAAACCTCAACTGCAGTAAAAACAAATCTACAAGTGGTCCTCCCAGTTTCCCCAATTTTCTTTGTGTTTTTCAAGGTTTATTTGTGCTTAGAAATACAGCAAGGCAAGGATGGACCGCAACGGTGGTAGTTTTCCAAGGGGCTGTTTCTTCTCATTTATTGATGAGATGTTTCCCTTTAGCATGATGCTGGGTGTATGGTGGCAATACTCCCCTACCAGCCCTGCACAAGGTCACAAATAAAGGGGACAGCGCCCAGGGTGATGGTTCCTGGAGGGTCAGGGAAGACCTGGCTGTAGCCAGGGTCAGGGTGAGCCTACTCTCTTCCAAACACATCTCCATCCCTCGTGGAAAGCAGACACCACTTTAGATGGTGGTCATGCCCCTTCCTAAACCAAAAGGCACTGAGAAATCATAACAACAGCGGTGGTTCCAGGGACAGAAAAAGCAAGGAAAGCACGTGTCAGAGCAGCATGCCCATCTGTGGGTTAATATGTGGTGGCCAATTCCGTATCACATTCCCCTTCACTTCTGCAGAAAGGCTTTGGAGACCACTTTGGGCTGCAGAGGGGGTCTGTAGCTCTTAGCCCATTCCCCACTGCTAGCACCAAGGCATTTTTTACAAACTTCAGCCCTTTGCTACCTCTGGAAAAATATTCTCTCCTAGTGTGTGCAGGAACAGGTGAAAACAGTGACAAGTACTAAAGGGTTAATACTACTTTCATGTTCCTGAGTGTAAACTGTCTGCAAGCCCTGCACTGTAAGGTCCTCTCCAAATTTAATCCCAAAGAGGAAGGTACTGTTTCGCTGAGATTAAGCAGATTTGCAGATTAAGAAGATTGAATTAAAATTAAATTTGGTGTCTTGGGGAGGGGTGGTGAATGAAAAAAAAAAAAGAAAAAAAGAAAAAAAGAAAAAAAGAAAAGGAAAGGAAAGTTGCCCTTTACCCACAGGTGTCTTTTAAATGATCCCCTAAATGGTGTCCCTAGACTCCTGTCAAACTGCACGCGTTCCTGTCTGGAGTGGTTTAAAAGTGATTCAAACTCTTTTGGAAACACAGACATACAGACATTTTAATTTCATCTGGTACAGCAACTCTGAGACCAACTGCACACACTATCTGCCAGCGAAATAAGCCACAGGGCTGAAAAAAATAAAAAAGCAAACCCAGCACTCTGCCTTCTAAATGCTTGATACAGTAAATTACTCATCAAGGAAACAGCCGTGCAAGATCGTTCAAGAATATGAACGCGAAAGATTGAGGGACTCACCAGAGCGTAGACTGAACTCAGGACGGAGCAGCAGAGGATCAAACCCAGACTGTGATAAACCAGATATGATCCCATATCCAAGAGGCTTCTTCCAGCATCCAAGCTTGCCCAGGGAAGTAGGAGGACGAGAGGTCTTCCAGCGTTGCAGATGATTTCTCCTTCTCCTTCCCTCCCGCCCCCCCTTCCAGAATTTGTGTGTTGTTTGATTGTTTGTTTGTTTCCACAGTTTTAGCCAGAAAGGCACATGACAAGAAACCCCGGTCTTTTGCTCCGTTTTCTCATGGCTGGAGATCTGGGCAGCTCCCGAAACGCAGCCGAGGAGCCCATGTGAAGCAGAGCAACTTCGCTCCCTTCAGAGCTGCAGCCCCTGGTGCTGTTTGTTTTCCGTGTGCATCTGTCTCGTAGCAGAAAAAATCACATCCATATGTCAAAACTGCTCTTCTGTTTCCTTTTTATGAGGCAGTGGGAAGTTCAAATAATTTCTTTGTCAAACGCAAACACACAGAAGGAGAGAGAGAGAGGGAGGGAGGGAGAAGGCGAGAGAGGGGTGGAAGGGGTGGGAGATTGGAGAGGGTGGGGGAGGCTTTTAACCACTGCTTTATTTTTAGATCCAGTAATTTTATCTTTTAGTTTCAGAGGGGTTTGGGGGTGTGTGTGGAGGGGAAAGCGCTTTGTTTTTTTTTTTCTTTCGCCTTTTTTTTCGGCATGCAAACAAACGGCAAAGTCGAAAGTTACAAAAAACAAAAACTTGGAAATATTTTCACTTAGCAATTACCTTTTCGCAAACAGTGGTACTCTGGGGGCTTTTCCCTTGCATATCGCGGCGCGTTTCAGCTCCACAATAGGTTTATTCTGCCAGCCTTCAAGGTTGCAGTGCGTTTTAGTTACGAATAGGGGTGGTTTATTTTTTTGCTTCACTCTCCCTTCTCTGTCTCAAAGGATCTGCAGTTTCAAAAAGCCGATTGAGTACGGCATGAAAGCATAGGGCTGAAATATCGCTCCCCCTCCTTCGCCACCCCCTTTAAGTAGTTTATTTTTGGTTTTTGTTTTTCTTCCCTCGGCAGAAACGTTTTTCACTTACTTCGCGAAATGTTCTGAAATCCTCGGGTTTTTGTTTTATTATTACTGTTACTGTGTTATATGCATGTATGTATATATACGCATTTTCTACTCGCGCACACGCGTCCTCCGTCCCATGCCCAGGACAAGCCCTCAGAAACCCGGCAGAGGAGCCCGCAGCCTCTCGGGGTTCTCCTGGGGCTGCCCGGGACGGGGATCATGTCGCTGCCGAGCCCCCCCCCCCCCAGTACCCGGGGGAGCCGCGGCTCCGCTGCCTCCCCTTCCTCCGCTGCTACCCGCCTGGATTTCACCGATTTTGAGGAGTTTCAGGGCAGGGATGTTACTCCCAGCTCAGCCGGCCGCTTTCATTCATAAAACTAAGAAGAAAGGAAAAAAAAAAAAGATTTATACGTGTAGGAACACCCTCCCCCCCCCCCCCCCAGTCTCCCCAAAGCCAAGCAGCCAGAGGTTTTGTTCAAGAGCCGAAAGCAAGCTACAGCAACCATCCCCTTATCATTTTTAAGACGTGGGAGGAGAACCGATGAGGGGAGGGGGCTGGAAATCACACGGATGCAGCACGCTAGCAGACACACACGCAGGCGGACGCGGGGCTCTGCGCTCCGGGCTGGCTCCTCGGGGAACTTTGGAAATCGAGTCGTGGTGGTGTTTTAGTTTTTTTTCTTCCCCTCCCCCTTAATTTTTCTTCCTTTATCTTCTTTTTATGTGTGTCCGTCCCCCCCTCCCTCCTCCCCACCCTTGCCTTTTTTTTTTTTTCTCCTCCGTGATTTGATGTTTTTTCGGTTTATTTTTCCGCGCAGAAGCAGCGGTTCTTTTAGAGGAGCTGAACGGAAGCAAGGAAGGGAAAAGAAAGAAAAAGTAATAATAAAGAAAAAAGCGCGCCAACCTCCTCTCTAGGTCTGTCAGAGAGCAGACGGTAAAAACATCAAGTTTTCGCAGAGTGGAGCTGTGTGCATTTCTGTCTTATTTTTTGGAGCAGAGGAAAAAAAAAACCAGGAAAAAGAAAAAAAAACCCACAACCAAACTCTACAGTTCGTTTGTTGCGTGCCTTTTTTTTTTTTCCCTCCTTTTTATTTTTTTTTTCTCACAGCCCCATGGCTGTGAATAGGTGCCTTCAGCTAATTTTATGAAAAGGGGCTCTTTCCAAGGCGAAGGTAGAGTAGGGCTTCCTGTAAGGGGGGGTGACGGGGAGGGAAGTTCTGCTCTTGATGCAATCTTTTCCTCCACCTCTTCCTCCTCCTCCTCTGCCTCTGCCCGCCAGCCCCGGCGGGTCTCCCCGGTTGCGGGAGGAGCGGGGCCGGTGTAACACCCCCCCTCGGCCGGGCCCCCATTGGTTGGTGGTGCCAGGACTGGGAAGTACGGGGTCAGTCCTGCATCTCTCCCACCCATTCCACCCCGGCCCATTCCTGCCCCATCCCCTTCCCTCCAGCTGTCGGGGGACACGGGCCTCTAGTTAGGGAGAGGATGCGGGGAAGGGGGGGAGATGGGGATAGAGAAAGGAGGGAAAGCCGAAAGGGAGAGATGTGGAGGGGGGAGATGGGGAGAGGGATGCTGAAGGAGGGAGATTTAAAAGCCATAAAGGCATCCTCACCCCACCCCATTCACATCTCCCAGATATTTCAAGCTCTTGCAGAGTGGAATATATTACAAAGATACTTACCAAGGAGAGGGGTTGAAGAATGGGTGGGGGGTGTGTAGTGGTTTGGGAGGGATTCCTTGGGGAATCTCCAGGCAAGTATTTCCAGCTCTTCTGGGGTTTGTTTCTTGGGTATGGGTATGGCTCATGTCAGCCCAGTGTGCCCAACTTGGGGGACGGAATGGGAGGAGAGCCCCTATCCCCAGGGGAGCCTTCTGTGTGCTTAAGTGTGGGGTGGACTGAGCAAATATGTACTCAGGGCTCTATAGTCATTCTGAGAAGGAGGAAAAAAAATCCACTGCAACGTTTCAGGGGCCCCATCACAGCTCCCTTGCTGTTTTTTCTCTTGGAGAGACAGGAGAAGCAGGCAAAAGCCTTGTATATTAAAATGCCCTCACCTCCTGCTCCTACCAGGAGGAGGAGGTGCTGATAAGGTTTAGGGAATGTCTACATCCAGATTTTGGTCCCCTGTCTCTATCTGGTCCCTCATGTATGGATTATGGGACTGGACTGGGGATGCCTTGGGGCTGGTATTTATTAATTTAATGATTAAAGGCAGATTACTACCTAATTGCTGAAGCTGCACAAGAGGAAATTTTTCTGTTTAAAGCTTGCCCAAGAAATATGGCAGAGAAATCTGACTCTGGCCACATCTTGCTCTCATGTTCACAAAGGCTACGAGGGGTGTTTTCCCTCATTCCCTTTATCTACAAGCAAAATAAACTCACACCTCAGGACTCCCTAGATCCAAAGACAGCCCCTGCCAGGTACAGCAGTCAGGGTATAATTCATTTTTCCCTGCCTGTTCCCTCCTGGGAGGATGGGAGGTGCGTGGGCCACAGCTATTCTTTGGAGGGATGGCACTGCAGCCTGGTCTACAGATGGGTTTCCCCAAGCAGTAGCTGTAATCCTCCTCCCGGCCACTTGAAGCAAGGCACAAGTGAAGACGGACAAGGTACTGCCCCACACCTTCATCCCTCTCTCAGATGCTGCTGTAAGAATTAAAGCTTAGTTCACAGCTCAGCATCACTCATAGATTTTTGCCACTGCTGTGAATGAGGTCAGATCCACAGAAGTCTCCTGGCATCTCCTGGATGCCACCCTGTTCCACTCATCACCTTCTTCTCTATCCTCTGGGTAGAGCAGGAATGCAAGACACAGCTGAAGAGCAGGACTACACTGGTGGTTCGTACGGTTGTCCTCTAAAGTCATGGTAAAACATGTCCATGGACTCCCTGTACCAGGGGTGGACTTGTGAGCATCTTCACCATTCACATGACCCTACAGCAACCTAAGTCTTTTTCCTACATAAGAAGGAGCTGTCTGACTCATGAGGTGCAGAGAATTGGGCCCTGCAGTTTTAGGCCTTGATATTCTTGGAAATTGTGATTTATAAAAGGTCAGACAAGAAACAGCTCTACTGCTGTAGGGTTTTTTTTTTAGCAGGTGCCTCAGGAAAAATGATTTTCTCAACACCCACCATCCCCAAACACTGTATATTCTCTCTGCCCTGGTTACAAGAGGATCCTTTCTCTCTCTACAGTCTTTTGAGGGCAAGATTATGCATTCTGCATTTCCAGATGCATGCTTTTGTTTGGGATGATGCATTTGTGAGATCCCTGCTTGGAAGTCTTCCCACCAGGTGGCTAATGCTAAGGACATTCTCCTTAGCAGATCAGTCACAGAATCATAGAGTGGTTTGGGTTGGAAGACACCTTTAAGCTCATCCAGTTCCAACCCCCTGTCATGGGCAGGGACATCTTCCACCAGACCAGGTTACTCCAAGCCCCGTCCAACCTGGCCTTGAACACTGCCAGGGATGGGGCAGCCACAGCTTCTCTGGGCAACCTGTGCCAGGGCCTCACCACCCTCACAGGGAAGAACTTCTTCCTCACATCTCATCTCAATCTCCCCTCTGTCAGTTTAAAGCCATTCCCCCTTGTCCTGACACTACATGCCCCTGTAAAATGTCCCTCTCCAGATTCCTTGTAGGTCCTGTTTGGGTATTGGAAGGCTGTTATGAGGTCCCAGGCTTCTTTCTCATCAAGGCAAAGGCAGTTTGGACAACTAAGTTTTGTTTTGGTTTTCTTTCAGGTTGCATCCATGGATGTGTGTATATTGAACCAAGAAGGAATGCGGTGCTGAAAGAAGCCTTTGTAATGTTGCTATTTTAAGGAGACCCTTGGGGATGGCATGGGATGAAATTAGTTTCTCCAACTTCTTACAACAAAACTTTCCAAGTGTTTATATCCTTGTACTGATGTAAAACAGCAAACTCCCACCCCCCAAAAAATAGCACCCAGTTTGAATGGGCTAAGGTTTTTGCCAGAAATGATTGCTATTGGTAACTGGCTTTATTTTGTAGCTAACTTTTACACAGCCTAATAATAATAAACTTATCCTCTCCCTGGATTGTTTTCTTCCCAGCTGGGTGAACACTTCCCTTCTGCAGGAGCTGGAATCCCATCCTGGATAAAAAGCCTCCTGTTCTTTTTCTCCTGGGTCACTCAGGTTCAGCAAAACATCACGACTTACATCAACCAAAGCCATTGACTGGGAAGGCAAAGGTCTGACATGGCTGGTGCTGGCAGCCACACAGCAAAAAACCCACATTGTGTAAGAAGCAGGTCCAATGACCAAGTGCTGCAGAGGGTAAGAGGCCTTTCCTGCCTTGTTTCCTCCTGGCTATTGCTCATGTTTTGTTGGCAAAGTCAAGGCCAAAATATACAAGAAGGAACTTTGGCTAAATTAAGTTTGTGCATTGGGCAAAATGGCCACCGTGGATTTCTGGCTATATTCGCTGTATGTTTTGTCTGGATTGCAAAGAAGAGAGTTTTGATGTCACTGCTTTCTTTCAACGTGAGCAGAGAAAAGGAGTAATAACAAGGCCTGATACTTCACACCTAGTGCTATTTGCACAAGGCTGAAGTTGTAACTCTTGGCTGTGATGACTCTGAAAGAAGTGTGTGATGGCTTCCCTGCTGGCTCTTTAGGGGAAACATCTGCTCTGGGTCTTACAGACAAAATCAAAGGTGAAAATCTCTGTCAAAGCAAAATTAAAATACATACAAGGGTCCTGAGAGTAAGTCATGAGTCCCTCCATGGTTTGGCTCCTGGTGCTTCATTTTAGCCTTGGTGCAATGCTACCATAGTGAGCAGCCCATATTGTTATTGCCAGTGGTGACCAGGACCTCTGCATCCTTGTTGTCAAATGCCTCTGTGACCTGGATGAGACTGTCTTGCTTCAAATCTCCTGCTCCTTGTGACTTGGATAGTCTTGACTGAAGATCTGCCTTGTGGGAAAGGAAGGGCAAGGCTGGGTATTCAGTTCCAAAACCAGTGTCTCAGTTGAAGTTGCCTTGCAGGGGGGACAGCAGCACCCACATCATCAATGAAGAGGTGTGAGAAAAGGGGTGAAAGAGAGGAAGATGTCAGAAATAAGTCTGTGGAGGCAGGCTCAAGAAGAGTGACACCTAAGAGGTGCCACGACACTGAAAACAGTATTAGAGACGTTCTCACTCGGTAGCTCCAGGCAAAACACAGACCCAATTAGCTAAACTGAAGAAAGGTGTTTTTTTTTTTTTTATCTAGCAGTTTCTGCTGCATATGTTATATTTGGACTTGCACCAGACTAGGTATGCATCTGCCCATCATTATCACCAGTGGGAGAGATGCAGTTGGATGAAGTGAGACAAGTTTTGGGCGTTTTTGTCAAGTAGATGGGTGGGCAGGCTGTTAGATATAAGTGGGTTTCTTCCCTGCTCTCTCCTACTGCTCCACTCACAACCTTTCAGTCAGCACCACTGTCAGCTTCAAAGTGGGTTTTCCCTGGAATATATTCTCCAGAAAGCCAGCCCATCTTGGTGTCAAGGCTTCCAGGGATGGCAGATTACATTCTCCCTGTCCTTTCTTTGAAAGACAGCATGAACCATTGGTTAATCACTCAAAATGTAAGAAAAACATCCCCTTTTTTATTTTTTAAGCTGTAATTTGCTTTCTGGTACTTGTTCTGACTTTCTTCATCAGCATTTAGCACTCCAGGATC